GAAGAGAAATGACTGGCGTGCTGTTTTGGACTCGGCCAAAATCGCTTAGGCGGTTACAGCGCCAAATAAGAAGAAAAGAAGATTTGTACGCACAAATCTAGTTTTGAAATATTTTGATAAATTTTACATACTCTAAACATGTGATTTTATAGGTATTTTTTTTTGTTTTGCACACAATAAGTTAATTTTTCGCAGCCCATTTTGGTACTTTTGACCTGACATCGGACGAGAAAAACAAACATGTTTGAATTTATCGTGTTTATTGATATCGCCTGCATATATCCGATATCGGCCGATGCCGGCTGCAGTGTGCGCGTAGCGTTACGCTAGGTGCGCATTGCATCCGATAAGCTGACCGATGTCGGCCGAATAATTTGAACGTCCGAACTGATACGCACACTTAACCAGATTATTTGCTCACTGCATTTGTACGCACAAATCTAGTTTTCCTTTCAATTTTGTAAGTAGTGAAATATTTTGATAAATTTTAATTGACATATTCTAAACATGTGATTAGGTTAGCTAACTTTTTTGTTTTGCACCCAATAAGTTAATTTTTCACAGTCCATTTTTATACTTTTCACCTGACATCGGACGAGAAAAACAAACATGTTTGAATTTACTGGTACTGACGTCAATGACCGATGTCGGTTCGGTTATCGGTTTATGTGTGAGAGCGCTCATATAATCACAAGTGTTAATTCATATAGCCGATATCGGCCGATTCCGGCTGCAGTGTGCGCGAAGTGTTACTTATCATGCAAAGGTAGCTCAGAGAAAGTTGAAACCATGATATTTGATACCTGTGCCGGGTATATAAAGTTCGGTTTCGCCCGAACTTATATTTCTTTACTTGTTTAACTTTGAATTGTGTCATTATTGCAGAGGGCCGTCGATGTATGGATATAGAGTTTCGGCAATATTTATTTATGAAACCATTTTTCATTTAAAAATAAAAATAAAAATTGATCTCATTTTAAAAGGAGTTTTCTTACCCACTGTGGATGCTCTTGCTTCACATTGAGCTTCTCCATATTTATTTGTAGCTTTGCAAGTATAAATCCCTGCATCAATTTTTTGAACTTCATTTAAAACGAGTTCGTAGTAACCCAAGTAATCCTTTTCCCGAATTATTTGAATTCGATTGTCATCTTCCAATATTTCCTTTTCGTCTTTAAAACTAGAATGAAATATAATCGGTAATTATAAATAAGTTCTCATGTTAGCGTAGCTATTATGAATCTCCAGTTAAAATAACATAAAATAAGATAAAATTAACGAACATACATCGATAGTCCTCTGCAATAACGACTGTTAAGTGGCTCACGTGTCTAATCCTCGTCTAATCTAAGTCTAAGCCTTACTAAAGCAAGTAGTAAGGGTTACTACAGTAAGTAGTGAGAATAATATTTGGATTATACCAGAATTAGAGGCATGAGCCACTTAACAGTAGTGAAGCATTTAACTTTTTGGGTTTTGAACTGTGTCGTTATTGCAGAGGACCATCGACATCTGTGCTATTCGCAATTAGTTCGAATTGTCGCGTATCTCGACAGTTTTTATTCGGACACATAATTTTCGATCGTTTATTAACAAAAATCTGGTAACATGTGTTGGGTAGATTATGTAAATCCGTATCGTACATATTTTCTATCCAAATGTTCATATACAAAAAAAAATAAGGTACTGATGACGAAATTTAAATGCGTAANCGTATGAGTAAAATTCTTTCGTGCTCAATTTTCATACAAATAATCTTGCGCGTTTTTATATGACCACTCATTATTTCGTATTTATCCATCGGTTTTCTTCATCAGTAACTAGATTTTTTTTTGTAACAGAACAGGCTTTAGTAGAAATGCAAAAATGAGGTACAGAACCTGTTATTTTTTTAATTTTTCTTCAGATAAAGTTTGTTTTTTTCATTTTTTCATTAAAAAATAAAAAAAGCTGGAAAGATTAATTAATTTGTCAGAAACAATAAGCCCTGTCGGAAAGTGATGTATATACGGTTTATGGAGAATTTCATTGGTTTTCAATTGCCGTATTTTATATTAAGATTATTAAATTGGTTCGTAAGATATACGTGATTAAGCGGAACAAATTTTTGCTTTAGGCTGAATAACGGTAAATTGCAAATATCTCGAAAACGTATCCACAGAAAAAAAACACAGAAAAAAAAATTAACTCAATTTGCGGAATCAACGAGAAATTCTACATAGGGATTGGATAGTGGCATCCATAGAACATTTTCGCTGTAAACCAGTGTAATTATTGCTTGCCACACCCAGAAAAAGGTTAAGTTATAATTACCAAGATTTGGTTACAGGGACCAAGTGGCATAGTTGGATATGGCGAAATAAATATCTCTAGTTCACGAAAGTCTGCAATTTACTTGAGACTTCTAGTTGGGACAAATGTATATTTGTTAATAATTACAAAACGACTACCTTGATTGGACAATATTGTTAGTTTAACCCAAATCATTGTTGAGCACATATAGACAATGATACAAGTTTTCAATTAATTTTGTGAACTTGCTGTAGACTTGAATCAGCTAATCGTTTATTAGTAAAAAAAAAGTTTCAATTTGACACAAATAAAAATTTACTCGATAGCTGTTGTGTTTACTTTCTTTTTTTATTCGCATATATTAAGCAAAAAAAATACATACATATTTACACAAATAGTTACTAGTGTATATAATACATATGAATATGGTGGTAAGAATTTCCTAAAAATAAACAGACAAAACAGGAACAGTCGTGCGAATACCCAGGTCAATATCTGCTGCTAGAAGTGCTGGTTTAAGTATACTGCTTTGCTTTTTCCTTGGCACCAAAACAACTCGCGGCGATAGCAAAACTGAAACTGAGACAACAAAGTCTGGGCATGTCATAGCACACACTTTTCTTTCTCTATCTAGCGCAGTGATCGACACGACATAGCTTACTGAGCGCTCTGTGACCAAGAATGATAGAATACAAGATTGCGCCAATCGAGCTGAAATCAACTGGCCGTGACGTCAATAAATACCAGAATGAGAGAGCAAGACGAACTCGACAAGAAAAAGAGGAAGCATCGGACAAAAGTCAGTACTGCCAAGTTTTGAATTTGAAAAAGCACCAAATTTTTATTGGTGTATTTTATAGACTTTATATGCATACATAATTTTATTGCAAGGATGCCGATTCAATGCTGCTGCTAAGACTGCCGTTTTGCCGCCGAGCGCTGACATGACCACTTCTCCTTCTGGTTTAGTGTCGTCTCAGTTATCTGCTCCCCTGCTACCTTCATTCGCTAAATCTCCCATCGATATTTCCGATGTAAATTCCCCTACTAATATAATTTCGCCTCAATGCAATTCTGAGTGGATTTCCGTGGACAGAAGACAAAGTAGAAGAAAGAAAAATAAACAAAAGCAAACTGTTGTTGTTCGTACGAATGCGAATGCTGACTTAGATGTTGCGGAACCTCTTAAATGGTTACATATATCCTCAGACTTGCCTTCTGTCACTGAAGCTAACATTATAAATTACGTCGCTAAACATGCTGCGCTTGATAAAAATCTGTTGGCTTGCTATAAATTGGTGAAGAAGGATGTGCAGTCAGCAACATTAAAATGGGTAAACTTTAAGCTTGGCGTCCCTGTGTCAGTTTTTGACAAAATGCTAAATTCGGACCTCTGGCCTGCCAACGTCTCTGTCCGGCCATTTCGCTTTTTTCCCGCGAATTCAGATACCCGCTGATGCCGTAACTGAATCCAGCGCTAGTAATAAATGCCGAAGAATTTACTTTCAAAATATTTCAGGCCTTCGGACTAAATGTTCGACTGTGTACTTGCGTAGTTCTTTCCTAGAGTTTGATATTTTTGTCTTTGTGGAATCTTGGCTGAATGATAAATTTTTCGATTGTGAAATTTTTGATACTAATCTTTATGATGTTTTTCGTAAAGACCGTGACTCTGCCAAAACCGGATGTTCCAGAGGTGGTGGTGTTCTCATTGCTGTTCGGAGAAAATTTCGAGCATCATTGGTAACACTTACCAATTCTGACACACTCATTGATCAGCTTTGCGTTCGTGTTCATGGCTCGTCTGGAATCGTTTATGTGTGTGCCTCGTATATTCCGCCAAATAGTGCCGACTATTTATATTTTGCACACGCCGACAATAATGTGTCATTAGCAGCAAACATCACTGGTGACAGTCATCTTTGTGTCCTCGGTGATTTTAATTTGTGTCATTTGAATTGGTCCCCATTTAAAAATTCGACTGCATTTATGGCCACTAACGTCAATTCTTCAGCCGAGATTCACGTCATTGATTGTTTTTTAAGCATTGATTTACTTCAAATTAATGGATTTTATATAGCCTTAACAGAATCTTAGATTTAGTGTTTATTTCCAGTAATGTTTCACTGCACATTGTCTGAATGTATCACACCCATCTCAACAACAGATAAACATCATATTCCGCTTACTCTTGAATTGGAGTTTTATAAGTTTTCTGAGGTTTCCGATGATTCCAACACAAAATTCAATTTCATCGCTTGTGATTTTTCTACTTTTAATGAAATTTTGTAAACAATTGATTGGTGTGATGCTTTCAATGACAATGATGTTACTTCTTGTTTCCAGTACTTTAAAACTAAGTTATTTGACTTATGCCTGAAGCATGTTCCTATTTTTAAAAAGAAAGTATATAAGACACCTTGGCATTCCAAACGGCTAAAGCATCTAAAGAATTTGAAAAACAAATTTTGCAAATTGTATAAAAGGACTGGTGACCCAGAGCATTATTCCAAATTTCAGTGCCATTTAAAGGAGTTTGACTGTTTGAATAAGTTCTTATATAGAAATTATATTTATTTCGAACTCGAAGGCCTTTTGGCAATTCATTAAATCAAAAAAGTCTTGTTCGTCAGTCCCAAATAATGTATTCTTCAATGGTAAAAGTGCAAATTCTGCCGTAGATTCTGCCAACCTATTTGCCGATTTTTTTTGCTCTAATTTTGATAACGACTTAAACTTGGATCCTAGTTTTCCTTCTAGGAGTGACTTTTCACTTAATTTTGGATCTCTCTGTTTATCTCTGACTGGTGTCATCAATGGCATTGGGAAGCTCAAGCCTACTTCTAAAACTGTCTCAGATGGCCTTTCGGCTATATTACTGAAAAACTGTTTATGTCTTGCAGAGCCCCTTGCAGTTATTTTTAACAAATCATTGACCTCTGGTATCTTTGTGGATGACTGGAAATTTACATCCGTTTCCCCTATATATAAAAGTGGAAACAAAAATGATGTTCGCAATTATCGGCCTATTTCGAAGCTCTCGTCTGTCTCCAAACTGTTTGAGATAATAGTGAATGAAAAGCTGTATTTTGCGGTCAAAAGCCTTATTTCCACAAATCAGCACGGTTTCGTTAAAAGCCGCTCCATGGTCACCAATTTGTCCATTTTCAGTGAATACTGCTTTTCAGCGTTCCGTAACAGATCTCAAGTGGATACAATTTATACTGATTTCTCTAAGGCGTTTGATAAAGTATCCCACCGAATACTCCTGTCGAAGCTTGGGTCAATGGGCCTTCACTCCACGTTTTTGTCGTGGATTAAGTCTTATTTGTCTAACAGGCATTGCGTTGTTGTCGTTGATAATGCCTCATCCCGTCCATTTACTGCGTCCTCTGGGGTCCCCAGGGCAGCATTCTAGGGCCCCTCTTTTTTATTCTCTTTATAAATGATATCGGCTCATGCTTTTCCTTTGCTGAATACTTACTCTATGCTGATGGCCTTAAAATATTCGCGGTCATCAACACCGCTCTGGACTCTGAAAGGTTGCAATCAGACCTTCACAATGTTTACAATTGGTGCTGCTTAAATCGTCTGTCGCTAAACATAAAAAAATGCTTCCACGTAACTTTTGCTAAATCGGTTACTACTTTACATACTTCGTATAGTATTGCTGGCTCTACCCTGAAATTTGTTAATGAAATTNTAGCACGGTCATACTCGATGCTTGCGTTCGTTCGTCGAAATTGTTCTGCATTCAGAAACCCATACACTCTTAAAATATTGTATTGCGCCTTTGTCGAGGTTAGAGTATGCCACTATTATATGGAGGCCCCACCAAATAGGTCTCTCTAGTCGACTTGAGAAAGTTCAAAAAGCTTTTCTTCGTTT